GAGGAATTACAAATTCCACTTGCAAACCACTTATATAATATGTACAGAAGACGTAGCAGTCTATGTGATTAGTTATAATTTTAAACAGTGTCTTGTAAGCTATTTTAGGCTGAATATCATATACAATTACATTTTCTATTCTATTCTATTTTATGCATTTGTTAAATATGATACCAGGTGTCAATCAGAAACATTTTTTATGAAAATAATCTTCCGTTTAAATTATAATTAGCTACTAGTTAGTGTAAATATAACAGGGGGCTCCCCAACCCTTGGAAACCTAAGTTTCACTACAATGTAGAACTAAGAAATTATTCATTTGATTTATCACCATTGTTATTTTTATTTTTTTTAAAGACATCATGTTTTAAGGCAGTAAATGTAAAAGAAACCTTTTAACTATTATAGTATTGAATATGTAAGGACAAAATCCAGTAGTTTGTTAGGTAGGAGCTGTCCCAATCACCTGCTTTCTGGATTGGCACATGTGATAGTTTGTTTTAATTTATTAATTTATTATGTATAATAGCTGTTCTTAACAAAATAATGATATGGTCTATATATTTTTACATTAAGATTAGTGATCCCTGTTATGTAACTATATGTTTTTATACTGTGTAACTATATACTTGTACGATGTAATTGTGATATATGACACTATAATAAACAAAATTGACTTGACTTGTATCATGTAATAAAAAAAAATCACAAATGTTTCTCTTATTTATACTTGTCAATGCATATATACACTTTTTGAAAACATTTGAAAAGGGATATTCGTCTCGTGAATATTCCTTTTTGCAGAAAGGTTTGTCCCATGGTTGAGGGAAGGTGTTTAGTCCCGTACCCATTTGTACCGGTCACATTCCGGTAATAGATATTTCCTAGTGTCTATAAATAATGCCTAGATGCAAACAACTATTTCTTCGTTTAAATCATGAATATTGGCATGTGTGCAATAAACCTCTGATGACGAATAAGTACTGATTCCATGGGACATAGCTGGGATATAAATCTTGCGTAGGCGCTTGAGCAATTTGCTGAAAAATATACTGTATTTCCCAGTTCAACGACAACAGTTTTCAAGTTAAATAAAATCAATTACTAAGTGTACCAGTGTGCTTTCTTATTAAATGTACAGAAAGAACGAAATTATATATGAATTAATTGTAATAGTTTTCAACTAATTTCCACTAACGACAATATTTATGAAATGATTTTAAAGATGAAAAATCACTCATTATTATCCAAAAATCTATAAACTGATTTTAAATTCTTATAAATGGGGGAGAGTTTCTTAAAATAAATAAAAAAACGTAAACAAAGTGAGAACTCAAAATCGATAAAACGAGGGCAAATTTTGAACAAAGACATGGAGACCCTTGAAAAAATACAATGAAAATAAGACCAGGTGTCTGTCAGCAGTCTACATTTTTGTTATCATGATGAAGTCTTAATGTTATGGAGTCATGCTTTTTGCAACAAACACTTGAATACAGACCGAGTCAATAGCAACATTGGAATGGGGATGTTATTATCAAGAAAGAGAAAGATCACAATCGGAACATCAAAATAATCACGCTGATCTAAACGTAGTTTTAAGGGGTCTCTTTTCATTTTGTTATGAGTAAAGATTGAGGAAAGTGACTGAGGTAGAAAAACCTGTAGTATCCTTTAATTCAAGCTCGGGATTGTATATTAGACCGACGTGGTCAATAATATTGTTATTTAAAGACAACATATTGTTGCTATATTTGAATATTAAATTAAAGGACTTCCAATTCGCTGAGGTTTTTTTTTGTCCGGATTGCTTATCAAATAAATTAAGCCTTCTATGAAAAGCAAAATAATCGGCCAGAGGAGAGGCACAGTTTCTTCCTATTGGAATGCCTACAGTCGGCTAACTGGTGGAAAGTCTTGGCTCCGGACTTAATAAAGAACTCAACCAGGAACTCATTCCTTCTCACAAATTCAACATCTGATCACTTATTTTAGCCTTTGTAGTGCTTTTCAATAAATATGCTCAAGAATTATTTACACCATGTATTTATATTGCTGTTTGCCATTCTTTTGAAAAGAAACCTCTCATAATAAGAAAACGAAGGCGTTCTTCCCTCGTAGGCATTTTTATCGACGTATTTCGGTACTTTGCAATATTACGATCGAACTGAAATTTTGCACACAGCTAGGTAATTGAATATTATATATGAACCAGAAGAATTTAAAAAAAAAAATCTGAAAAAGGAATTCCTTGGCGTGCGAAATCCTCACTTGACACTCCTTATAGTGTTGCCGTTTAAAAGTTACTTCCCCTGACATCACTGGCGAACAAAATCATTGAAATTTAACACAGGGACCCGATAATATGTCACACCTGTATTTGGACCTAAACTAAGGTGTTCAGAGTAATTTTACATGGTTTAGGGGTTTAGATCGACTTTCGGTAAAAATGACACCACAATGGTGATAGTAGTATATACCAAATGAAAAAGAGTTTCAATGATGACTTAAATAAGATTCAATTTCCTATGACATATGTCTTTGATGAAGCTGATGACGTGTATTGGGCACACGAACTACTTTTAAAGGAGGTGATAGAGGAACATATACCCGTCAAAGAGAGAAAACCTAAAGTGAATAAACCTCCATTTTTTAACAGTACCCTGAGGAAAAAAATTTCCTTTTCAATAAATACAAATCTCAGAAAAACAGCCAAGAATTGGGAAGCATACAGGGTGCAGAGAAATTTGGTTATTAAAATTAAACGTCAGTCAATAAGAAATTATTTTCTTGAAAGTGTGGAGGAGGTCCTAACTCTAAGAATGTTTAGCCAACTGTAAAGCCCTTCATTTCTAACAAATGTAAACATGACTTAGATACAGTTTTGAAAGAAAATGACAGCATCATTACCATTCAGAGAGATGTTTGTACAATGTTCAACGATTATTTTTGTAATGTGGCCTAAAACATAGGTACAGAGGTGGATGGAATCGCTGACCATCCAAGATATCCTCTCACCCTAGCATACAGACTATCAAAAATGAAATTTTAACCGAACCAAAATCTTTTACTTTTAAAACTGTACTTCCAAATAATATTAGAGATGTGATAAGTTAGCAGGGTACAAAGAAATCTGTCGGAGTTGATAGTATCTCTGCTAGAATGATGAAAGCTGGCTCTGAATCCTTATGTCAACCACTCACAAATATTTGTAACGTTTGCATTGCTGAAGGAAGATTTCCACACTCACTTAAACTAGCCAAGGTCATTCCTATCTTCAAAAAGAAAGATCCATTAAACAAGGAAAACTATAGACCCGTGAGTGTTCTTCCCACAATCTCAAAGGTCTTTGAGAACGATAATGCATGACCAGCTAAGTGAGTTTTTTAATGATATGTTTAACCCCTTCCTGGCCGCCTTCAGACGGGGCTACTGGGTGTCAGTCGTCTGTCCTGTTGCGACTCTTGTAGGATTGGCGTCAGGCCTTGGACAACCACAAGCACATATGAGCCATCCTAATGGACTTGTCCAAGGCTTTTGACTGCCTCCATGGTCTGTTGTTGGGGAAACTACAAGCCTATGGGCTAGATGAGTCAGCAGTTGCACTTGTCAGTAGCTACCTCATGGACAGACAGCAGCGGGTCAGGCTTGGCCCCATGGTCAGCGACTGGGGGTGGCTCAGTAAGGGGGTCCCACAACGCTCTATAGTGCTCATGGGGCCTCTTATTTTTAATGTATTTATGAATGACATTTTTACTGTCTTAAAACGTGGGTCTCTGTTCAACTATGCCGACGACAACACTTTGTCTCATATCACTGATAGTGCTCTTGATCTTAGTGATGTGTTATAAAGTGAAAGTAATTTATTAATTAACTGGTTCACAAAGAATGGCATGCAGGCAAACCCAGAAAAATTCCAGGCCATCTGCATAGGAAAGAAATCTAAAGAGCAAATTTCATTGTTCACCATTGGAGTTCACAAAATTACATGTACAGATAGTATGACTTTGCTTGGGGTTGAAATTGACAGTGATCTAAAATTTGAAAATCATATAGCAAACTTATGTAGGAAGGCTTCCAAACAACTATGTATACTCGAGAAAATTTGAAATCATCTGACAAAAAGGGCAAAGTCACCATTTTTAAATCTTTTATTTTATCTAATTTTAACTTTTGTCTTATCAACAAAAACCAAGTTTTATATAAGTTTAGGAAAGTTGACACTGTGACTATACCAAGAGTAAATTCTACCACATATGGTAAGAAATCTTTTCGTTTTGAAGCCGCCCAGGTGTGGAATAGCCTACCAAATGAGATTAGACAAGCAGAAAACAGAAAACTACAGGGTTTCCTGTAGGCTGTTGCACACCTGGGAAGGTGACCTCTGCCAGTGTTCTATATGTTCGTGACTTTCATCTTATTGATCCCCCATTTTTATTTGAGATTTTTGCTTTTATTTTGCTTCTTACTTTACTTTAATTTATCTGAGTATTTTATTCATCATTTTCCAATATAAAGTATCGTATTAACCATCTGTGATATATAAGAAATATATGTGCTTGCTAAATCTGTTTTATGCTTATGATTTATTATTTGTTATAATTAGTACTGTTCCTGCTTTTAACATGAATGTGCTATCATCAAACTGTTTTCTGATTATTTTAGTAGTTCAATGTATATATATATATATAGTTTTGCTGCAAAATCCTACCTTTTATACTAGCATGCCTTTTACCTTGTTTATTTTTACTCTGTTTTTTTTTTTTTTTTACTTATACTGAAGTTTGTTGCAAAACTGAATAGCTACACAGAGCTAATGTTCAATGTTATGCCATATACGACACTAAGTAAAGTTTCTTGTATCTTGTACCTCGTCTTGTTGGACCTTAACTAGCGATAGGAGTCGTGTAGAAATTTGGTTGGTTCATGTACATGTGCCTAGTGAAAATATGTAGTGCACAGAGCAGCGTTGCCTCAACCAATCAAATGCGTACATGTCACTGGCCCATGTGTTGCCACCACACTTCCGGTACTAAATTGAAACCAACAAACTGAAGCCCCGGGAAGTTGTCGCCGCTCTGCGTCGAAGGAAATTTGTAGTTATGGCAGGGGCAGGGATTGGATGTGTCTTATTGTTCCTTTTACCAGCTTTATTGTCAGCTGGCAAAGCGAAGGGACCGAAAGTAACCGATGTTGTAAGTAAATTGCTCCGATAGCGCTTCCTCTGGCCCGGGTGGAGCAATTATCTATAGTGACTGCGTTAGGCCTAACTTATGGGTGTAGAACACTGTTGTTTTGTCAATGAATATCAGAATATGAATCGCAACAACTTCAACGTGCAAACTTTATCTGATATTTCGTAGTTCTGGACAGATAGCAACACATGACAAATTTAATTATGGAAGGAAATATTTGTGAACTGAAAGTAGAGATCTCGTTCTGGGGGCTGGTGTAAGGGGAACCAAAAACCTAATGTACGTCTCGCTACTACCCTACTCACGGCGCCTGTCAAATGTATCTCGCTGTGTTAAACCTCTAACATTGTTCGAGTAGCTACTAGCTATGCCTAACCATTTTTGTGGAAGGATGTTTATTGTTTTAATTAGTATTTTTCATATATTACCATCTGATGACAACAGAACTCCAATGAACAGGTAGGGGAAAACCACCAACTTGCGTATAATACGCAAACTCGCCTATTATACGCCAGTTCAGTTGGAGTATGGATTTGTTATCAAAACTAACACAAGTCGCTTTTACAGTAATTTTTGTAATATATCATTAAAAATCCCATTTATTTACGACAAGGTATACTATATTTTGCTAAAAGATGTTTACTGAAAGCGTTGGCTACTTCGAAACTTGATGTAACTCTACCGGAAGTATTGCATCTATTTTTGGTACTTTCCTACATGGAAATAAAGTTTATTTTTGCATTTGTATGATGTTTCATTGCAAAATAAATGCGAATTGGACAAACAATTTGAAAAAGTTAGGATTTAGAGTGATTTTTCTATTTTTTAATAACAAATCCATACCTCAATTGGTGTGTAATAGGCGAGTTTGCGTCTTATACGCAAATTAGTGGATTTCTCCGACCTGATGAAAATAACTTTACCTTAAAATCTGAATTCTTGAGAGCAGTGTTTGAAATTTTGAAAATGCACCTGCATAAAAGTGTTTTCGAGATATTCTCCAAAATGGCGTATTCATCCTAAAAAAATATTTTTATACATATTTTCATAATTACATGATATTAAGCAGACAGTCTCATACTAATATGAAGGCAAAATTTCCTTGGTCAAGGTGTGGTTTATGAAAATTTCAGTAGATCGTCTAGGTCTATTAGAAATCAATATTAATTTTAAAAGACTAGGGGACATGTATTATGACTAGACAATATATGTCTATGGTAAGGGACATGTATCAAGATTAGGCTATACATCATGGTAGGGGATATAACTCGTTGTACATCATGATTAGACATTATTTTATGCTTGGGGACATGTATTGTGGAGGTGTCATCATACACACTTACTTGTGATTAGAGATGTATTATAAATGACACAATTCAATCACTTTTTAAATAATGTAAAATGTTAACCTCCAATTTACTTAACATTTTAAAGTAACTCCAGATTGAAGATCCTGGCCTCTTGCATTATTTTGACCAAGTTTAGATTGCAATGCATCATGTAACTTTTTGCAAATATTTCTTCACTTGCCTTTCCTATTGCCAAGTGACATATCTTTTCTATTGCCAAGTGACATGTCTTTAATGCTTATTTTGATCTTGACAGGTATTCTTCGACATAGAAATTGGGGGCGAAAAAGCTGGAAGAATTGAGATTGGTTTGTTTGGTAAAACTGTACCAAAAACTGTTGAAAATTTTAAGAAATTGGCAACGGGTTCAGAGGTAAATATATGTGATTGTCTTCATCACCTATTTCAAGGTTTGCAGATATACTGTATTTGACCTAGTTAGTCATATATGCTATCACTTTCCCGTGCAAAATAGTGAGATCAGTGATTATTTTTAGTGAGATTTGGTAAAATTTTAAATATAAATTATATAGCATGATATAACATAGCTTTTAAAGCTTTTAACATTTAAAAGTAAATATATCACATAAAAGGCAAAAAATAGGAGTTATTTATAAATGAGTCTATGAATTTTTAGGTCACCTGAGACAAAATCTCAAGTGACCTATTGTGATTGCCTTTTGTCCGTCAAGCGTCCGTAAACAATTTACATTTTTGACTTCTTCTCCAAAATCCCTAAACCAATTTCAATGAAATTTTGCAGGGACCCTCCATGGACAAAGGTCAACAAAAATAGTGGCCGTTTTAGCCCCCAGGAGCCTGAGGGCGGGCCAAAAAGGGTCAAATTGACTAAAATTTCAAAAATCTTCTTCTCAAGACCCAGATATGGTAGAATCAAATACTCTTCATATATGGAAGGGTCTTAAGGTGCTTTACCAAAATTGTGAATTTCTTGACCCTGGGGTCTCACGTTTCCCCCTGGGGAGGGGGTAAACTTTACTATAGTTTATATAGGGAAATCACATTTTGGACCAACATTTGTTTAATTTCCATTGGAAGTAATTCAATTTGGGTTAGCATTATCAGTATTAGGTAGCAGTTTGATAGTATGCACCTATGAGCCCTGACTGACCCCCAGGGGCTGATGGGTGGGGCCAAAAAGGGTTGAATTGACTGAAATTTCAAAAATCTTCTTCTCAAGACCCAGATATGGTAGAATCAAATACTCTTCATAGATGGAAGGGTCTTAAGGTTTATAACCCTAGGGTCTCAAGTTTACCCCCTGGGGAAGGAGGGGGGGGAGGGGCAAAATTTATTATGGTTTATAATGGCAAATGATACTTTGAATATTACATGTTAATAACTTGATTGGAATTATAACCTTGAGTTGACAGTTTGATACTTTGAAAATTTTGAGCCAGCCCTACCCCCAAGGGCTGTAGGGTGGGGCTCAAAGGAGTCAGTGTGCTAAAATATCTTTATTTTCCTTGTTTAGAATCAGAGGTGCTAGTTTCAAATACTTTTTAGTCTGAAATCTGTATGCTAGATATCGAATAAGGTGGTTTTATTGTTTTTTGTCACTTTGAATAATATTTCTTTTCATGTTAAAAACAAAATCAACTCTCTGTATAAATATATCAGGTGACCGTTAAGGCCCATGGGCCTCTTGTTCTATTTAGCGAGCCTCTGGCTAGCTAAAATGAAAAATTTGTGACAAGTTCCATTTTGGAGTGTAAGATCCTTTTTATCACATAATCAAGATTTGTGGCATTTATTCATGTTAATCGACTTTCAAGCAACCTTGAATTGTAAAAGGCCACCATTTTGACTCTAGTGCGTAAATCTGTGACATCATGTACGTGTCCTAGGCGTGACGTCACAATTGAAACAATTGAAACTTACAAACAATCACAGGGCTGATAGGTCATATTACACGGGTTAATACGCAACAAAATATGACATGGGTATATTCACTGGATAACATAGTACATTATGTGATAAGATATATATCTCGGGTTGTATTTATCAGGACCCACAGATATTATATATCCGGTATGCGAGATATTCCTCATCAGCAGTTTGGTGATCATGCATACACAATATATTGTGAGATTATTATCAGTTGTGAAATCTATAAATAGGCACCTGAGATTTCAGTCACTCTGGCTATCCCAAATTTAAACTAGCATGTCGAATTTCAAAAACACTTACTCATGTAGACACTTTTAAATACGTTATTTGAGTTATACCAATGTTTGTACGAAAACTACCAATAATACATATTTGAACTAACAAGGACTCATGCCCTAAGAAGGGTGCCTCCACTCTTTTTCTGAGGAACAAAAAACATGATATGATATTGGTACTCCTAACTGGTTTACTTTAAATTTGTTGATACTGCCAGTTTACTGCTGTAACCTGTTTGATACAGTGTTAATCCAGTTTATTGTAAACCTGAATACATTACTACACATTTACTGTAAACCTGAATACATTACTACCAGTTTACTGTAAACCTGAACACATTACTACAAGTTTACTGTAAACCTGAACACATTACTGCCAGTTTACTGTAAACCTGAATACATTACTACAAGTTAACTGTAAACCTGAATACATTACTACAAGTTTACTGTAAACCTGAATACATTATTACTACAAGTTTACTGTTAATCTGTATGAGTACCACAAGTTTACTGTAAACTTGTGGTACTCATGCAGATTTACAGTAAACTTGAGGTACTCATACAGATTAACAGTAAACGTGGAGTAATAATGCATTCAGATTTACAGTAAACTTGAGGTACTCATACAGATTAACAGTAAACTTGTAGTAATGTAAATCTGAATACATTATTACTACAAGTTTACTGTAAACCTGAATACATTACTACAAGTTAACTGTAAACCTGAATACATTATTACTACAAGTTTACTGTAAACCTGAATACATTACTACAAGTTAACTGTAAACCTGAATACATTACTACAAGTTTACTGTAAATCTGTATGAGTAGCACAAGTTTAATGTAAATCTGAATGAGTACCACAAGTTTACTGTAAATCTGTATGAGTACCACAAGTTTACTGTAAATCTGAATGAATACCACAAGTTCAATGTAAATCTGAATGAGTACTAGTCTACAGGTTTATGGTAAATCTGTATGAGAAATACAAGTTTACTGTAAATCTGTATGAGTAACACAAGTTTACTGTAAATCTGTATGAGTTCCACAAGTTTACTGTAAATCTGTATGAGTGCCGCAAGTTTACTGTAAATCTGAATGAGTACTAGTCTACAGGTTTATGGTAAATCTGTATGCATACTTCAACTTCAATATAAATTTATTTGAGTACTAAAAGTTTACTTTAAATCTATATGAGTACTACAAGTTTACAGTAAATCTATATTAGTCCTACAAGTTTACAGTAAATTTGTATGCATACTTCAACTTCAATATAAATTTATTTGAGTACTAAAAGTTTACTTTAAATCTATATGAGTACTACAAGTTTACAGTAAATCTGTATGCATACTTCAACTTCAATATAAATTTGTTTGAGTACTAAAAGTTTACTTTAAATCTATATGAGTACTACAAGTTTACAGTAAATCTATATTAGTCCTACAAGTTTACAGTAAATTTGTATGCATACTTCAACTTCAATATAAATTTGTTTGAGTACTAAAAGATTACTTTAAATCTATATGAGTACTACAAGTTTACAGTAAATCTATATTAGTCCTACAAGTTTACAGTAAATTTGTATGCATACTTCAACTTCAATATAAATTTATTTGAGTACTAAAAGTTTACTTTAAATCTATATGAGTACTACAAGTTTACAGTAAATCTGTATGCATACTTCAACTTCAATATAAATTTGTTTGTGTACTAAAAGTTTACTTTAAATCTATATGAGTACTACAAGTTTACAGTAAATCTGTATGCATACTTCAACTTCAATATAAATTTATTTGAGTACTAAAAGTTTACTTTAAATCTATATGAGTACTACAAGTTTACAGTAAATCTGTATGCATACTTCAACTTCAATATAAATTTGTTTGAGTACTAAAAGTTTACTGTAAATCTGTATGAGTACCAAAAGTTTACTGTAAATCTGAATGAATACCACAAGTTCAATGTAAATCTGAATGAGTACTAGTCTTCAGGTTTATGGTAAATCTGTATGAGAACTACAAGATTACTAGAAATTTGTATGAGTACCACAAGGTTACTGTAAATCTGTATGAGTAACACAAGTTTACTGTAAATCTGTATGAGTACTGGTCTACAGGTTTATGGTAAATCTGTATGAGAAATACAAGTTTACTGTAAATCTGTATGAGTACCAAAAGTTTACTGTAAATCTGTATGAGAACTAGTCTACAGGTTTATGGTAAATCTGTATGAGAAATACAAGTTTACTGTAAATCTGTATGAGTACTACAAGTTTACAGTAAATCTGTATTAGTACTACAAGTTTACAGTAAATTTGTATGCATACTTCAACTTCAATATAAATTTGTTTGAGTACTAAAAGTTTACTTTAAATCTATATGAGTACTACAAGTTTACAGTAAATCTATATGAGTGCTTCAGATTCACTGTAAACCAGCTGAGTACTACAGGTTTACTAATAATTAATCAGTTAGAGTATGGTTATACTTGTCTGGTTATACTTGTCTGGTTAACTGTAAATCTTTATGCATACAATAGGTTTAGTTTTAATAAGTAAAAGTACTATAGGTTTAATATAAATTTGTATTGTTTTTATTATTACCAGTTTAAAGTTTTATTTTGCCTTCTGTAAACCTTCAGCTATATTTATTTTACAGGGGAAGGGACTATCATACAAAAAAAGCAAATTTCATCGAGTTATTAAAGATTTCATGATTCAGGGAGGAGATTTTACAAAAGGTGATGGAACTGGAGGTAAGTAACATAACAGTATTTCTTTTGCATGTAATTACACATAAATATTATCTTAAAAGGTTTCAGTCCAGGGTCAATCTACGGTAAATACATAGAGTTTGGCACCTACGTCATATTGAAGTAGCTCTCACTGCTTTTGTACATATGTATATGTAGGCTCGGTAATGACCAAAATATTGATATTGTTTCTACTATTAGAAACCATACACTATGAACGGCAATAAACGAATATTTGAATCAGTCTTTTTGCGCTTATTTCTTTGCCTCTATTTCTTTCCTTTCCTACATTTTTCAAACTTTCTCTTTTTTCCCCCATTTCTGCCTCCTTTTTAGCTCACCTGGCCCTGGGCCAAGTGAGTTTATGGCATGGTGTGGCATCCGTCCGGCGTCAACTTTTTACTTTAAACAACTTCTTCTGAATAACCAAGAGGCCCAGGCTGAAAAATATTTGGCAAGTAGCATGCTGGGATGAAGGGCTACCGTTAAATGAATGACCTTGACCCACTTTCAAGGTCACAGTGGTCAAATGTCTAAAATTCTTCAAACAACTTCTCCTCAATAACCAAAAGGCCCAGGGTACTGATATTGGGCCAGTAGCATGCTTGGATGAAGGGCTACCAAGTTGTTCAAATGAATGACTTTGACCCGCTTTCAAGGTCACAGGAGTCAAATGTCGTAAAATCTTCAAACGACTGTTTCTCAATAACCAAAAGGCCAAGGGTACTGATATTGGGCCTGTAGCATGCTGGGATGAAGGGCTACCAAGTTTGTTCAAATGAATGACCTTGACCCACTTTCAAGGTCAAAGGGGTCAACTGTCTTAAAATATTCAAAAAACTTCTTCTAAATAACCAAAAGTCATAGGGTACTGATATTTGGCCTGTAGCATGCTGGGATGAAGGGCTATCAAGTTTGTTCAAATGAATGACATTGACCTATGTTCAAGGTCACAGAGGTCAAATATGTTAAAAAACCTGTAATACAACTTCTGAATAACTAAATGCCTAGGATGATGATGATATTTGGCCAGTAGCATGCTGGAATAAAGAACTACCGAGATTGTCCAAATGAAAAAACTTTTTAACAACTTCTTGTGAATAACCAAGACTCACCAAGAGGTATAAGGTGATGATATTTTGATGACTGATTCATGTCTACCACTGAAAATAAAAACATAATTTGAATGAAGATGACTGTTTGCAGTTTGTTTTGATAGAGGAGAAAGGTTAAGAATGTCATTACGTGCATTTATCACATTGGGGTAACTCTGACCTGAATTTTAAGTTAGTCATCACCTGCATAGAGGGTCTGGGAGCTTGGCCATTTTGAGCTTCATGAAACATTGTAAAGCTGAAGAGTAATGCAGAACAATTGAAATGGTGGGAACAATTTTGAAATCAGCTGAACCTCAAATTTTGATTTCTCTTTTAAATGACAGGCAGAAGTATCTATGGAGAAAAGTTTGCTGATGAGAACTTCAAGCTGAAGCATTATGGCGCTGGATGGTTGTCAATGGCTAATGCTGGCAAGGACACAAATGGATCCCAATTTTTCATTACCACTGTCAAGACAACCTGGCTAGATGGCAAACATGTTGTTTTTGGAAAAATTGTTAAAGGAATGGTAAGATATAAATCATCCTGCACCAAAAAGATTGATGCTGTATCATAGCAGCAATTAATCTTGCTTTTTGAATCAACCTTTTTAAGGTGAGCTTATGCCACACACTGGCATCCGTCGTCAGTCCATCTGTCTACAATTTCTTTTAATAACAACATTTCAATAATCGAATACATTTTTCTGAATTGCTAAATGGCAATTATCCACATTTTTCTGGAAGCATCCCTAAGTGTTGGGGATCAAATCAAAATTGCACAATGATGGTGATAATCCCCCAAGGAGCTGAGGGGCTAGCTTATAGGCCAAGATAATTTGTCCATATAACTTTTAAACACCTTTTGTATGATTATACCCCTGCAACGAAGTTAGGGGGGTATACCGATTACTGGAATCACCCTGTCTGGATGTCTGGATGTCGTCGCAGTAACTTGTCCGGAAAACTCCTCCTTAACTAACAGGTGGATTTCATTGAAACTTTGCACGAATGATCTGTATCTTATGTAGTTGTGCACCGGCATCTTAATTTGGGATTTCGACCACATTTGATGGAGAAATGCCCCTTTGTGCAAAATACTTGTACGCACAACTCCTCCTTAACGAACTGCTGGATTTCATTGAAACTTTGCAGGAATGATCTGTATCTTATGTAGTTGTGCACCGGCATTTTAATTTGGGATTTCGACCACATTTGATGGAGAAATGCCCCTTTGTGCAAAATACTTGTACGCACAACTCCTCCTTAACGAACTGCTGGATTTCATTGAAACTTTGCAGGAATGATCTGTATCTTATGTAGTTGTGCACCGGCATTTTAATTTGGGATTTCGACCACATTTGATGGAGAAATGCCCCTTTGTGCAAAATACTTGTACGCACAACTCCTCCTTAACGAACTGCTGGATTTCATTGAAACTTTGCAGGAATGATCTGTATCTTATGTAGTTGTGCACCGGCATTTTAATTTGGGATTTCGACCACATTTGATGGAGAAATGCCCCTTTGTGCAAAATACTTGTACGCACAACTCCTCCTTAAAAAACTGCTGGATTTCATTGAAACTTTGCAGGAATGATCTGTATCTTATGTAGTTGTGCACTGGCATTTTAATTTGGGATTTCGACACTTTTTGATGGAGAAATGCCCCTTTGTGCAAAATACTTGTACGCACAACTCCTCCTTAACGAACTGCTGGATTTCATTGAAACTTTGCCTGATTGATCCGTACCTTATGTAGTTGTACACCAGCATTTTAATTTGTATTTGTTTTTCAGGATGTTGTTAGGAAAATTGAATCCACCAAAACTGTAGCCAATGATAAGCCTAAACAGGATGTTGTGATCGCCGATTGTGGTGCCATCGACACAGAGGGATATACTGTAGAAAAGGAGGATGCAAAAGATTAGTAACATACCAATTCCATTTGTTTTTGTTTCTTATTTACATGTATTTCAATACTAAACGTTGTTCACTTAAAGTTGTTTGTAATAAGAATTTTCTTTTTATTTGGAAAAATTGTGTTGTTTTGACTACCAGGTGTACATCATTGAAAAAAAGGAGATAATATTTGTACAATAAGTTCATCTTTGTAACGTTTTGATGATATTTGAAATAAAGATACCTAATCATTTGTATACCAATTGTTGTGGCGTTGTTTACCTGGGTCTCGTATACTATTGATTTCTTCACAATGTTTCTCTCGTTACCACTGCCCTACTTTAAAACAGTGATTATATACATTACAAACCAAATAAATTCACTTTTTTTATGATCTTTTTAGATCATTTAATATTGTTTTGGATCGACTCATATAGTTATACTGTTTTTTATGGCATGGTGCGGCGTCCGGCGTCAACTTTTTACTTTAAACAACTTCTTCTCAGTAACCAAAGGGCCTAGGGTGATGATATTTGGCCAGAAGCATGCTTGGATAAAGGGCTACCAAGTTTGTTCAAATAAATGACCTTCATCCATTTTCAAGGTCACAGGGGTCAAATATGTTAAAATCTTTAAACAAATTCTTCTGAATAACCAAGAGGTCTAGGGTGATGATATTTGGCCAGTAACATGCTGGGATGAAGGGCTTCCAAGTTTGTTCAAATAAATGACCTTGCCTTATATTCAAGGTCACAGGGGTCAAATATGTAAAAACATTTAAACAACTTCTGAAAAACCAAGAGGCCTAGGGTGATAATATTTGGCCAGTAACATGCTGGGATGAAGGGCCGCTAGGATTTTTCAAATAAATGACCTTGAATTATATTCAAGGGTACAGGGGTCAAATATGTTAAAAACATTTAAACAATCTCTTCTGAATAACCAAGAGGCCTAGGGTGATGATAGTTGGCCAGCAACATGCTGGGATGAAGGGCTACCAAGTTTGTTCAAATAAATGACCTTGACCCACTTTCAAGGTCACAGGGGTCAAATATGTTTAAAACCTTTAAACAACTTTTTCTGAATAACCGAGAGGTGATGATATTTGGGCAGTCAACAACTGTGGGGCGGGGCCAAAAAGGGTCAAATTGACTGAAATTTCAAAAATCTTCTCCTCAAGACCCAGATATGGTAGAATCAAATACTCTTCAATGATTGAAGGGTCTGAAGGTGCTTTACCGAAATTGTGAATTTCATGACCATTGGGTCTCACGTTTCCCCCTCGGGAGGGGGTAAACTTTACTATAGTTTATATAGGGAAATCACATTTAGGACCAACATTTGTTTAATTTCGATTGGAAGTAATTCAATTTAGGTTAGCATTATCAGTATTAGGTAGCAGTTTGATAGTATGCACACATGAGCCCTGACTGACCCCCCCGGGCTGATGGGTGGGGCCAAGAAGGGTTGAATTGACTGAAATTTCAAAAATCTTCTTCTCAAGACCCAGATATGGTAGAATACTCTTCATAGATGGAAGGGTCTTGAGGTGCTTTACCAAAATTGTGAATTTCATGACCCTAGGGTCTCACGTTTCCCCCTGGGGAGGGGGTAAACTTTTCTACAGTTTATATAGGGAAATCACATTTTGGACTAATATTTGTTTAATTTCCATTGGAAGTAATTCAATTTGGGTTAGCATTATCATTGAATAATACATGTTAATGACTTGATTTGAATTATAACCCTGAGTTGACAGTTTGATACTTTGAACATTTTGAGCCAGCCCTACCCCCAAGGGCTGTAGGGTGGGGTCCAATGGAGTTAGTGTGCTAAAATTTCTTCATTTTTAGCTCGCCTGGACCGAAGGGCTTATGGCATGGTGCGGCGTCCGTCGTCAACATTTTACTTTTAAACAACTTCTTCTCAGTAACCAAAAGGCCTAGGGTGATGATATTTGGCCAGAAGCATGCTGGGATGAAGGGCTACCAAGTTTGTTCAAATAAATGACCTTCATCCATTTTCAAGGTCACGGGTCAAATATGTTAAATTCTTTAAACAACTTCTGAATAACCAAGAGGCATAGGGTGATGATATTTGGCCAGAAGCATGCTGGGATAAAGGGCTACCAAGTTTTTTCAAATAAATGACCTTCATTCATTTTCAAGGTCACAGGGGTCAAATATGTTAAATTCTTTAAACAACTTCTTCTGAATAACCAAGAGGCATAGGGTGATGATATTTGGCCAGTAACATGCTGGGATGAAGGGCTACCAATTTTGT